CATATGCCACAGGCTTCTGGCAGTTGCACAGTGCAAAGCTAGCTAAACAACTTCCAATACAAAATAGAATTGAAGAGAAGTCTTACTCTCCAATGTGTGCACCAACAGAAAGGGGGATTTGTGGCAGGAAGAGCCTGCGGTGGATCAGAACATGCTCCCTCTGGAACAGCCAGCCTCAGTGAGGCCCCAGAGTTGAGAGTGAATGTATGTTTTGATCATCTACTCTGTATAACTAGCCACCCTAAAACTTAGTGGCTTAATCCAGCAATTTATTGTTATTTCTACTGGTTTCGTGAGTGGACTATATTCAATCAGGCAGTCTCATTTGGGGTCTCCTGTATTGCAGCTAGAAGGGGGCCTAGGTTGGAGTCCCATAAAGGCTTAACTGGCTGAACATCAAAGATGGCTCCTCTGAGGCTGGCGATTGATCCTGGCTGTTGGCTTGGGGCTCAGCTGGAAGGATCAGCACATGGCTTCCCCAAGTGGTGTGGGTTTTCTGCAACATGGCGGATGTGCTCCAAGAGTGAGTGTCCCACAAACATTCCAGGTACCCCAAGTGGACTCTGTAAGTCTTGTTATGACCTAAGCCCTGGAGCCCCTAAAGGCCATTTTGTCTTCATTCTGTTGGCCAAGCAAATTACTAAGACCAGCCCAGATTAAAGGGGAAGGGAACTAGATTCTACTTTTAGATGGAAAAATGCCAAGGTTAGCTGACAGAAGAGCACATGGCTGCCACAGGGTGAGGTGTAGAGCATCGAGGAAAGCAAAGATATTGGCCACCTTCTCCTCGAGTCGGGGACAGGGACACAGCCAGACTATTCCCATGGCTTTCATCTTGGCAACTGTACTGCTAGACATGAACAAAGAGGGTAGCCTACAAAGGAGTCATTCTACCTTCAACTTTCCAAGTTCAGTGGATGCTTCCTTAAATGTCCTCACCTCATGACCACAAAGAGCCTTGTTAGGGTGACACCCCCAGAACTGAGCCAGGGATATGGGCTCGGCTCCTGCTCTGACCCCAGGCACACCGTTCTGACCTGCACTGCCCCCCGTGGAGACCCACGACCCCACAGAGTTGACTGTGAGCTCCTTCACGTACCCCTCTACCCTGTTCCTTTGGCTGTTGTTCCCTGTTCCACTGTCCATTGAGAATGCTGACTGTGAGAGGCTAATGGCAATGCTGAGCTCAACAGGGGCCTTTTCTTCAAGAAAAGCAGCCAGTGAGAGAAAGCAGGACCAGCCCCCAAAACCCTCTTTCCTAAAATATGAAAGTGTCCGGCATCTCTGTGTTTGTCTTCCCAAACTTGTTTTGAAGGCTTTGACCTGAGATATCTGGATATAAAAGTTTCATGCTAGCTCTCCATGCTCATTTCATGCTGGTGTCAACCTCCAGGTGAATTATTTCTTTTCCTTTATGGGTGGGCAGGAAATTGTGTGCTGCATTCATAAACTAAGGGCTGCTGCCATCCCTGGGAGGGCCTTCCCTGGGAGCAGGGTATCTCCAGACAGGGACTAGTAAGTCTATTGTTGCCCGGGCCAGACAAAGGGAATGTAGAGCTCAGCCTCTTCCTGGTCCATGACTCTGGATTAGGGACCAAGGTAGAAAGTCATGCACAGAACAGGACATGGCACACAGCGTCTTAGAGACAGGTGAGTTTCCACGGGGGAGCTGTGTGGCCAGCTCGGGTTCCTCGGTCCTGAGTCACCATGAACATCTAGTGGGAGCTGGGAATTTTCCCCTAGATCATAGATCCTCTATTAAGTCACATCAGCTGCATTTCAGGGCACTTTTAATCTCACTTTACTTCAGGAAGATGCAAAGGGGAGGCAAGGGAAAAAGAAAAAAATCAGCACTCTACATATGCTGCCTCATTTTTAGAATTCTTAGAATAAGCATTTCTATTTTGTTTTTAAAGTTTTTTTTATTTTTTGAGTCAGAGTCTAACTCTGTCACCCAAGTTGGAGTGCAGTGGCACACTCACGATCACCGCAGCCTCGACCTGCTGGGTTCAGGCAATCCTTCCACCTCAGCCTTCCAAGTAGCTGGAACTACAGGCATGTGCCACCACACCTGGCTAATTTTTTAATTTATTGTAGAGATGAGGTCTTGCCCAGTTGCCCAGACTGGTCTCAAACCCATGTGCTCAGGAAATCCTCTCCCCTTGGCATCCCAAAGTGCTGGGATTATAGGTGTGAGGCACCACACCCGGTCCTAAAGTGTCTCAGTTCCTACTTTTTTTTGAGTAGGAGTCTCACTCTGTTGCCCAAACTGGAGTGCAGTGGCACACTCACGACCATCATAGCCTCAACCTGCTGGGCTCAGGTGATCCTTCCGCCTCTGCCTTCCAATTAGCTGGAACTACAGGCATGTGCTTCAACGCCCGACGAATTTTTGATTTATTGTAGAGATGAGGTCATGCCATGTTGCCCAGGCTGGTCTTGACCCATGGGCTCAGGCAATCCTCTCACCTCGGCCTCCCAAAGTGCTGGGATTATAGGCATGAGCCACCACACCCAGCCAGAAGTATTTCTATTTTAATAGAAGGGGAAGCTGAAGCTCAGAGTCTACATGATACAACTACTATTTGGCTGATTAGTGATAGTACTCTGCTTAGAAGCCTTCTCCACAGAGTCATGTTCAAGGCCTCTCTGATGGCCAGCCAGAGGTGGGTGCTTTGGTCTCACCTCAGGACTGCTTTGTAGCACCTTAGTTGTGAGCTTCTGGGGGAAGCAAAGGCAGAGAGAGATGGGACCAGTGTGGGCTCAGAGGGGACCCAGAGGTGACTGTCTGTGCCTTAGCACCACTCTGTGCAGTGCTATTGTGGTTCTGTGAGGGACCCAGCATTCATGGCTTCAGTTTTATGTTGAGTACCCTCACTGGTAAAGCAAATGATGAAAAAGATCCCTTTGTCTTCCCTTCTCTTCTGTCTGATGCCCGTGCTTCCCTGCCTTTGAGTCACCAGCACAGGAGTGACCTTGGGTATTTGTGATGAGGCCAGAGTTAGCACGGGCAGCTAAACCATCCCAGGCACTCAAGTTTCCCACACCTCAAGCCCCATGAACCTGTCCTTCGTATAAAACACTGAAAACTGAGTTTGCTCCGGATGGATATTGGAAATCAAGAAGCCCACGTATGTTATTTCTCATCCCTGGCCATCACTTGAAACTTACCTGAACATCTTGGGAAAGTGAACCCCATGAACAAGATGTCCGCTTCTCTATTAATTTACTACTGAGAGTTTCCTTTGGTTGATTTGGGAAAATATGAATTCTTTTTTTTTTTTTTTCAACTTTGAGGCACAATAAGTCGAGCTATGGGGTTCGGCAAATGCAGTTTGGAATAACACCAGCACAAGTTAATGGATTTTTCTTTCACGATCTAGTTTGTTTTAATGGCAAATCCTGAGTCTGGCTTAAGAAAATATAATTAATAGCTGGAAGAGGATTGTGAACTATGTATGAACCCATGACTGCTGGAATCACATATGGAGAAGTTGTATGACGGTGACAAGGAAACGGTACCACCACTAACAAGCTGCAAATTACTTTATGGAGCCTCTATCTCCCCAGGAGAGTGGTCACACTCACCACAGGCTACAGGAGTCTTGGATGCGAGGTAGAGATATGCTGGGAGTCCAGGACCCACTGGCCAAGCAGAGGCCTGGGACTAGAAGAATCAACCAAGCTTGTTTACTTTTCTTGCTTTCCTTTTATCTCTCTTCTTTCTTTCTTTTTTTTTTTTTTTTTGAGTTGGAGTCTCACTCTGTCACCCAGACTGGAGTGCAGTGGCATGCTCCCAGTCACTGCAACCTCAACCTGCTGGGCTCTGGCGATCCTTCCGCCTCGGCCTTCCAAATAGTTGGAACTACAGGTGCGCGCTACCACGCTGATTTTTGATTTATTATAGAGTCGTGGTCTCCCCAAGTTGTCTGGGCTGGTCTCGAACCCACGGGCTCAGGCAGTCCACTCGCCTCAGCCTCCCAAAGCGCTGGGATTACAGGCTGAGCCACCAAGCCTGGAGACAGGGTCTCGTTGGAGTACAGTGGTGAGATCATAGCTCACTGCAGCTTCAAACTCCTGGGCTCAAGGGATCATCTCGCTTCAGCCTCCCAAGCAGCTGGAACTACAGGCATGTGCCACCATGTGTAGATAATTTTGTGTATTTTTAATTTTTGTAGAGACAGTATTTTGCAATGTTGCCTAGGCTGGTCTTGAACTCTTGGCCTCAAACTCCTGGCCTCTTTCACCTCAGCCTCCCAAAGTGCTGGGATTGCAGTCGTGAGCCACTGTGCCCAACCCAGAGTTTTTTTTTTTTTTTTTTATCAAACAGCTTTGCAAGGCATGCACTCATAATAACTAAAGCATTATATAATGAATGTTATGATTGACTAGTAGGGAAGATGCTATTTTCTTCCTTCAGACAGAACTATTTGCTTATGAACAGTATACACAAAGTAGTTGCTCCCTGGCCACAGGCTAAATATATCAGTTGATAGTTTCATAATTATTTGGAACTTTAAGTTATGTGAAGGCCCAGTTTTGCTTTGGAACAAAAATAATACTCCTAATTAAGCAATCACAGAGAAATCCACACAATACAGCTATGGTACAGGATAAGGCAGAGGCCACAGGACAGAAGCAGGAAAGGGCCTAGTCCTCACTGACTGACGGAGATTACTGACAGGTGGTATTCCCTTCTGGGCCTGTCCCTATCTATGAAGTGAACAGGTTGAATGTAATGACTTCTGGGGTCTTGTCCGTCTCTTAACATCTTGTGGTTTTCACGTTATAAAATATCTCTTACAGTGCCATCAGACAAGATCAGTTGATCAAAACAGAAAGCTAGCTCGGAAGATCCTGCAAGAAAAAGTAGATGTTTTCTACAATGGTGAAAACAGTCCTGTTTACAAAGAAAAACGAGAAGCAGAGAAGAAAAAGCAAGAAAGGAAAAGAAGAGCAAAGGAAACCCTAGAAAAAAAGAAACTCCTGAAAGAACTATGGGAATCAAGTAAAAATGTCCAGAGAAGAGAAGTAGAGATTCCAACAGACAGAATCTGCCAGGAAGCTTCCAGGGACTACGGTGGTGAGTCCCACCACCAGTGTTACTGTAGAGCGTTTAAAGACTTACTTTTGAAAGACTTAGGAACATCAATTATTTACATGGTGGACTAAGCTATAGTGAGTCAAGATGTACACATTAAGAATAAAACTATGTAGCTAGCTAGGCTCAGTGGCTCAGCCTGTAATCCCAGCATTTTGGGAGGCCGAGGTGAGTGAATTGCCTGAGCCCGCGGGTTCGAGACCCACCCTGGCAACTTGACGAGCCCTTGTCTCTACAGTAAATCAAAAATTAGCCGGGCGTGGTAGCACACGCCTGTAGTTCTGGCTACTTGGAAGGCTGAGGTGGAAAGACCGCCAGAGCCCAACCGGTTGACGCCGGGGTGGCCGTGAGTATGCCACTGCACTCCAGCCTGGGCAACGGAGTGAGACTCCAACTCAAAACAAAAACAAAACAACTATGTAGCTGGGCATAGTGGCGCATGCCTGTAGCTCCAGCTACTTGGAAGGCTGAGGCAGAAGGATCACCTGAGCCCAACAGGTCAAAGCTGTGGTGGCCATGAGCGTGCCACTGCACTCCAACCTGGGCAACAGAGTGCATCTACAACTCAAACAGATAAATAAAAATAAAAATTTTAAAAACAGTGGCTACTTTCCTTTCTAAGTGCTGTCATTGTGACAGCACTTAGAGGGGCACTGGGATAACTGACAAAAGTTCTATTCTTGACCTAGACAGGAGTTAGAAGGGTGTTTGCTTATTTTAAGCTGTACTTATTTGAGTCGGAGTCTGTTTGCTGGCCAGACTAGAGTGCAGTGGCACACTCACAGCCTCTGCAACCTCAACTTGCTGGGCTCAGGCGATCCTTCCACCTCAGCCTTCCAAGTAGCTGTAACTACAGATATGTACGACCACACCCAGCTAATTTTTTTTTTTTGTAGTGCTGGTACTTCAGGCGTGAGCCACTGCACTTGGCTTAAGCGGTACTTTTGTGTGTGTGATTGTGTATATTATAAAAGGTTAGAAATAAAATTTTTTGCTTGATACCAGACTGGGCAACATAGTGAGATGAGCTGAGTGTGGTGGCACGTGCCTATAGTCCCAGCTACTTGGGAAGCTGATACAGGAGGATTGCTTGAGCCCAGGAGCTAGAGGCTGCGGTGGGCCGTGGTTGTGCCACCGTACTTCAGCCTGGGCAACAAAGTATGAGCCCCTGACTCAAAAATTTTTTTCAGAAAAGTATTATTAGTCAGGATTTAGTCAAACATTAGTAGCATTTGGTGGCAACTTGTCATCTGCTGGAAGGCTGTGGCCTGGTGATACTTAGATCTCAGTTACCCTGACATCAGGTTAAGAGAATAAAAGAGAAAACAAGATGGTGAAGGAGTTAAAAATCAGTAAGTTACCTGCTCCATTCGCTGAATATGCTGAACTTGCATGTTGCCAAGTCATAGCTCTGATGTAGAAATACACATATTCCCTACATGTTGATTTGTAAGTAGATTTAGAAGACATGAGATTCCAGAATCTGATGTGTTTATGAATTTGCATCACTTAAAATAACTTAAGCTGGATTTGACCTTACAGTGTTTGTTTTTGTTTTAGGCCATGCATAATAGCTTGGCTTCTTTTTTTCTTTTCCTTTTTCTTTTTTTTTTTTTTTGAGTTAGAATCTCACTTTGTCACCCAGGTTGGAGTGCAAGTGGCACACTCATGGCCACTGCAGCCTCGACCTTCTGGGCTCAGACGATTCTTCCGCCTCAGCCTTCCAAGTAGCTGGAAACACAGGTGTGTGCTACCAAGCCCAGCTAAATATTTCTGATTTATTGATGGGAGGAGGTCTTGCCATGTTGCCCAGGCTGATCTCAAACCCATGGGCTCAGGCAATCCTCTTGCCTCAGCCTCCCAATGTGCTGGGATTACAGGCATGAGCCACTGTGCCCGGCCCAGCTTGGCTTTTTAGAATTTATCTGGAGTTCACATAGAAAACAAGTAGGGAAAAATACAGTGAGGTGAGAGAGTCATTATCAGTGTGCCAGATGCAGAACCTGTCTCACATCTGCAGTGCTGACCAGACCATGTGGCAGGTGCAGACTGGATGCCAGTGCCTGGCAGGGTCTTCTCGACTTGGACACTCACTGGAAGCTTCAGCATTCTACCAAGACTTGCATTCTGCACCTCTTCTTGGGGCATCCAGGATGCTTCCGCAGCTCCACCTCCCTTTAGAAGATAAATCATACACAAGAGCCGGGCTCGGTGGCTCAGCCTGTAATCCCACGCCATTGGGAGGCTGAGGTGAGTAGATTGCCTGAGCCCGCGGGTTCGAGACCCGCCTGGGCAGGCGAGACCTCATCTCTACAATAAAATTTTTAAAAATTAGC